CCTGTCATCATTCTTAGTGCATTTGGAGTGATCTTTAAAAAATGCAAATTTGATTGTATAACTATGGTTTATTTAAATTATTTAATATTTTCCCAAATTCTTAATATTGCCTTTGTGTCCAGCATGGTTTGGCCTGTCTTAAGGGCCAGTCTACACAAATTTCTCTTTTCTATTTTTTGTGCATTTCCATTGCTTTTCCTTTCACTAATGTAATGCTTACTCATCAATCACACCTCAACTCAATTTCACCTTTTAAAAGAGACCTCTCCCGAATTTCAGTACAGGTTAAATCCACTGTCACATAATCTCGCAGCACCCTGTATTCCAATTGCACGGCTGTTAAAATTGGCAGTCATTACATATGCATGCTTTTTTTGTAGTGCTGCATCCTACCCTCTAAGCAAGTTCTATGAACAGAGGCAAATATTTCTTTTTCGGTCAGCATTTTTCTCCAGGGTCTAGGACAATTCAAGCACATATTAAAATAACCATTTGTTGAATGAATGAATGAATTTCATCAAAAAATGGTGATCTTGGGGGCCGGCCCTATGGTGGAGTGATTAAATCCATGTGCTGTGCTTCGGCCGCCCAGGGTTCTGCCAGTTGGGATCCTGGGTGCAGACCTAGCACCGCTCATCAAGCCATGCTGAAGCAGCGTCCCACATAGCAGAACTAGAAGGACTTACAAGTTGAATATACAGCTATATGCTGGGGGACTTTGGGGAGAAGAAGCGAAAATAAAAGACTGGCAACAGACGTTAGCTCAGGGCCAATTTAAAAAATATATATACGTTTAAAAAAATTATAATCTTCCCAAGTGAACTGTTATTCCGATTACATCCTTAAATGTTCAACTGTAATGCCAGTCTATTCATAATGCCTTGTAGAGGAGCCCCTTCTTCTTTCATCAATTCTGGAAGAATTAATTTCTCCCTCTTACAACTTGTATTAGTCTGTATTGGAATACTTTTAAGCTGTTTATGGAAAGCTAATAGGCTATTTATAGGTTTTGTTATGAAGTTAGTAGAGAAGAGAGACAGTCATTACTTTCTGGGAGCCAAAGTAGAGGAAATGTCTTTATTGTCTATGCCGTGATGTTTATATTGTTGATTCTCTCTCTCTCTGAATATTCCACATTTAGAGAGACAAGAGATGAGTTGAAGAGAGGAATAATTGGATGAAAGATATCCCAAGAAGGTAGAATGTATTAGCTTCAAAAAGTAAGAAAACTGTAGCTTCTTTGAGACAGAAGCAGAGTCGAGTCCAAGGACATTGCAGCTCTAGGCCCAAGTTAAGTTCTAATTAATCAGAAGGAAATGGAAGAGTTTCTTCCTACGTTATCTACTTCTTGTACTTCACTGTACTTTTTTTCTGCATAATTCAAGTCTCAGCTTCCGCCTACTGATTCTGTGCTACTTCTCAGGCATATGATTCTTTTCCATGTCTTGAAGTGAGTTTTGTATGACTGTTGGAAAAAAAAAAAAAGATTATTTGGGAACATCTGGCAAATGCTCCCATAAATTATATTTGGCATGAATCTTTTGGCACATTTGGTGCTGCTGCTCATCTTCCAGTGATTTTAAGAGGCTCATAATTCCTCTCTTTGGTTCAGAGATGGAAAATATGGAGGATGAGATATTCTTAACCAATAGTGACCTTCCACAAACACTCCTGGCAGCTCTCAACATCCAACTGTGCAGAATAGGGCTTCTACTATAACCAGTTAGTATACATTCTTTATCTCCAAAAACGAGGGAGAAAAGCAGACTGTCATGTAATGGTGGCTACATGATCTCAAGTAACAAGAACAACAACAATGATCCTGTGACATGGACTGCAAAAAGAACTTTTGAGAAATTAAAGGAATCCCATAAGGAAAAACGCTTTGATAGGCCTTGGTTTAAGAAGAAGAAATCTGTGGAGACTTCATGAAATATTTACATTCAGAAAGAGAAAAGAAAAACATGAAGTCTTTAGAAGTGTTAGTATGTTAGCTCAAAAACATACATATACTTTTTCTTTATAAGTGTATGATATAAAAAGAAATATATTTGGTCTTTGGCCATGGTTCCTGACACAGAGCTCCTAAAACCCTTGACATTTCCTGGGTGACAGAGATTTTTATCATACATAAGGAGTCCCTTTGAGCATGTCTGAGTTTATGCTAATCAGGTGCCTAATTTTTGGGCCCCTAGATAGCCTCAGGCTAGGGTTAGCCACAGAAAAACCAAGTGATTAGAGAGTTGGAACTTTTAGCCATACCACCAAACTCTGGGAAGGAGAAGGGCGGGGGAGAGTTAAGCTCTATCAAAAGCCTGGAATAACAAGATTTGATGAGCTTCCAAATTGGTTAACACATCCACGAGCCAGGAGGGTAGCATGCCTGAGTTCCCTGGGGATTTAAGTTCCTGTACTCAGGACCCTTACAGATGTCCTCTGTTCCTCTCCATCTGGCTGTTCAACTGTTGCCTTTATAATACCTTTAGAATAAACTGGTAAATGTAAGTACATATTTTTTTGAGTTCTGCCAGCTGCCAGAGCAAATTAATTGAACCTGAGGAGGGTGTTACGGGGACCTCCAATTTATAGCTAGTGACTCAGAAGCACCTGGACTTGTGACTGGCAACTAAAGTTGAGGCGTAGATGTGTAGTCTTGTAGGATTGAGCCCTTAACCTGTGGGATCTGATGCTATCTCCAGGTAGATAATGCGGAATTGAGTTAATTGCTTGGTGGTGTTGGGAAAAAACCCAGAAACATTGTTACTTCTAATCTATTTGCATTCCTTACAAGATGTTATATCCCAAACTTCAAGTATTTAAACAGGGGAGTTTCGATTTTGTATTAAATAAGTAACTTTGAGACATTTTTTATTATTCTTATTTTTTGGAAAGATAGAAATCACTTTCATGCAAACACAGGATTGCATTATGAAGAATGATATCTTGGAATACAGAGATAAATTCTCTTAGACTTTACTTCCTCCCTTGATGGAGTACAAGCCTTTTACACCTGCAATAAACAACTATGTAACTGGACAGAATATATGAGACAAGGGTTTTCAAGCACTGGATAAAAAGCATTACAGAACTACAGCCCCAGAGGGGAGGGGAACTCACACGGAGAGTCCCATGACCACCAGCTTCGTGCTAGGGGAAAATTTTCTGACTGTTGTAAAGAGCAGAGCAGAGATCCTGATAAACTGAAAAAGCTGAGATAGAGTCAATTGCAGCTGAGACAGTGGGAATCTGGGGTTAGAGAAGAGGACTGTGCAGAGAGCCCCGTGGATTCTCTACAAGTTCACGACTAAGAATCACCCACATACGCACATATGTAGTAGGAGCCACCCGAAGTATTGCAGATAGAGGCTGCTGAGAAGAGTGGAACAGACAGCAGACCTAGAGTAATGTTGAGTTTGTTGGAGATCACATTTATACTCATGGCAACCATGAGACTCCAGAAAGGCAGCCAGGAGCATAATCAAGAGCAAAATCTACACTAGGCCCACACTAACAAAACCTAAAATTAAATCTTGATACTATCTCACAGAAGATGGAATTTGGAGTTTGAATGCCTTAAAGTTAGGAGGGCTTGGGAAACATTTAAAATCTCTACAGATCTTCACTAACAAAGCATAAAATCAGGTTTATACAAATTCAAAGTGATAAGATATAATTGATCTGACTATTAAAAAGAATCAACATATCTTGAGGAAGATAACATGACCACGTTCTCTACATTGATTGTGTTACCCAAAATGTCCAATAATTTTTTGGGGGGAGGTGGTGAGGAAGATTTGCTATGAGCTAACATCTCTTGGCAATCTTCCTCTTTTTTTGCTTGAGGAAGATTAGTCCTGAACTAACATGTGTGCCAATCTTCCTCCACTTTGTATGTGGGTCTCTGCCACAGTGTGGCTTGATAAGTGGTGTAGGTCTGTGCCCAGGATCCAAACCTGAGAACCCAGGACACCAACGTGCAGTGTGCCAGTCTTAATCAGTATGCCATGGGGCTGGCTGCATCAATACTTTTTTAAATCACTAGAAATGCAAAGAAAAAGAAAATTGTAATTCATAGGGAAAAAGAAGAAAGCATTCTATATAAAGCAAATCCCAAAGGCCTAGAATTTGGACTTTATAGACAAACACAAAGAAGCTTCTATAAATATGTTTCAAAGGACAATAAGAAAATATAGTTTTAATAAGTGAATATATAAGAAGTCTCATCAGAGACATATAAACCATATTAAATAGCCATAATGAAACTTTTATAACTGAAAATTACAATAACTGAAAGGAAATAGTTCCTGGGCAGTTCCAGCAGAAGACTGAAGATAGAGTGAGGGAATAATTTCCAGAAGAAGGAAGTCAGGTCACAGGCTGGGTTCCTGGGAAGTCTGCTATGCAAATACTCTAGCTGGCAAGGTATGTTTTAGGATGTGCTCTTGGAATTAACACCCATATAAGGGAAGAGAAGGAAGCAAGATTGGACAAAGTGAGAAGTTGAATGGCTGCTCAGTTCCCATGAAGTCATCCATCAATCCTATAAGGAGACCTGGAGCTAGGGATGGCACTTCTGAGTGCCTCGAATTGAGGTGAGAAGGCAGAGACTTAAATCCCTGTGTTCATCAGTCATTGAATTCTGCCTGCCTTTGGAAGGAGGAATGACCTTGAGAGAGGCAGTTTTCTTTACCAGAGCCAATTTCTAAGAGGGCTTACAGCTGAGGACAGCTTTCCCATAGCACTCCCAGATGCTGGGTGAATAGATCCTGACAGGGAATCTGGGTGGCAGGTCATAGCAACTACCACAGTCTGTATTTGCACTCTCTTATCCAATTCTTTGCTTAATATCTGGAAGCAGCTACCCCAGGATTCCTGTGAGACTTTCTTTTTATGGGTCACATATCAGACAGAGGTTCTTGGGAAGAGTGACAGGCTCTGCCTCTGCATCTAGTGTCAAGACCACTACTGACTCTTGTTGTCTTCCTCCTCTACTACTGGTCTAGATTTCCTTCACCTTCAGCCAGCACCCCTGCTTGCTGTGGTGCCTCACCTGGTGGTGTGATTTAGACTTGCATCTCCTAGACAACTGAGCCCCTGGCCACCATGTTTACTTCAAAATTGGATAAAGTACCAAGACAGGCCAACTCAGCCACCTAAGTGCTAGATGTATGCCTACCTGCCCCCCTCACAGCAGCCTATCTCCTCCTGATGATCAAGGTCAATTACACCTGCCACAACGGTGACTCTTTTTGCTGACTGGTCCCCTGGCATGAAGAGCCTGAAGAGCATAGATGGTAGCCATAGTTTATAGTTCAAGAGGACTCTTGCTATGCTTCATGTGAATGTGTTCCCCCTTTGAGAACAAAGAATTCTAAACGTGCGGAACACAGAGCTGTGTACTTAAGAAGCACAAATTCCCAAATGGATCACTGGAAGTGATGGTAAGTAAAGAGATTCCTACTTTGACCTCTTGCTTCCTGGATCCATGCATCCTGCTTGTTATGGAAGCAACATAATATAACTGCCATTGATTTAAAAGGCAGGCTGCATTCTGCATCATGACACTCAATCCTGGTAAAGTATTTCCTCCGAGCTGGAGCATAAACTGTACCTTTAAGCAGACCATTCCATTATTTCATCAGGGTGACGGCTGCTGTTATTTGATATAAACAGCAGATCCTATGGTCATGGGCCCACTTCCATAAAGTAATCCCCTTACTTTTCATGCTGTTATGCAGGATTCTGTGCCAATGGATCAAGCCCTCTGAAATCTCTAGGATAGTGGTGCGGGCTAAAGTCCTGTGGATAGGAAAGGCAAACTTATACCTGGAATATGTGACTCTTCCTGTCAAAACGAATGGCTGCCCTTCCAGCCTGGAAAGGGCCCAATGTAGACAGTTTGCCCCCAAGTGTCTGGTTGAGCTCCTCACGGGATGCTGCCATATTGTTAGGTAATCACTGGTCTCTGCTCCTGGCAGGCTGTAGGCAGGCTGCTTCCAGCCCTCTACCACCTTGGTTCCCTTACACATGCCTATTGTGCCAGCACTGAGGTGGTTCATGGCAAAAGCTGGCTGTCAGTCTGGACAAGTCATTTGTTTGCCTGGTCATCTATTGCCTCTTATGGATGCCCAATTCTGTTAGATCATCTTTACAATGGGTGATGTGAGCCACCACTGAACACCTTAGCGGTGCTTGTCCTCTCTCACTAGTATATATTTCTTACTACTTTGCTTAATGGTGCAGCTCTCGGTCTCTCCTGTGAAAATAGGAGGGTTTCCTGCTCTATGCTATATCCACTCTAACATTTTTACTACTCTGAGCCTTTTTATCCCTTTTCTGACTAACTGGCAGAAATTCTGGCATCTTTGCCTCCCTTAGTGTGGGCCATCACTCCTTTCATTCTTCTAGGATCCATCAGAGCAGTATGTGTGCACCATGTTCCTACTTCGGTCTTAAATCATGTATCTCAGGAGAGTGCTCTCATATTGACAAATTCTATTTTATAGAAATTTCTGGTGTGTCCCTTTTGATTCAACACCCTCAGATTCCTGCCTTATATGTATTGTAGGGGTTCAGAATATGTCACCTCAAAATATTCCACTTTGGCATATTATTTTGAATTAAAGTTACTTGAGAAACAGCCGGTGCAAGAAGGACACTCTGAACCTCTTTTGTCCTCCTGAAAACAGGAGATAAATCTCCCATGTGCAAAGTGTCCTTCCTGTACCAGGAGGGTAGAGGCAACCCTATCACCAGAGACAAGGAAGTGAGGGTTGAGAAGGCTGTGTAAACAAACCTTGTTACTTCATCACTATTTTACTACCCATAGCCCAAACACTTTGTCTCGTCAATTCTTCATAAATTTGTTGTTTGTTTGTCTAAAAAGTATAAAAGTTTCCTGCTCTGGTCACTTTGAGTCTTCTATCTTTGTGGGCTCCCATATGGACGTACATAATTGAATTCATTTTTCCGCAGTTGGTCTATCTTTTTATTCCAGGGGAGTTTCAGCCAAGAATCTAGAAAGATAGAGGAAAACTTATCTTCCCTCCCATACAGTATGCTCCCAAGTCTTCCAGGTATTGCAAACTAGGTCCTTCTGTTCCTTTTGAGTAGAGTCTCTTTCCTCCTTCAGTAAGCCTAAAAGATCACCAGCTTTACTGACCTCGATGCCAGGAGAAAAGGTGGGGGCAGAACCTATAGTACGTGCATGTTGTCTTGAAAGACAGAGACCTATCATCAAGCAACGGACAGTTCTTGGCCTTACTAGGAAGTATTCCCTTAATAGGCAGGAACAGGTCACTTTTGCAAAACCAAAGAGTTCAAAGAAATCTGGGGATTCGAGAAATTTGGAGGCATTAACACAGATGTCTTGCTTTATGTGTGAGTCCATCCTTTCCCAGCTGGGGTCCGACACTTGGTACAGCAAAGCTGCCTTGGCTGGGAGTTTGCTCATTTGGAAGCTCAGCTACTTTTATCATGAAGCTCTAGGTCTGGTCCTCAGCTTTCTCCGTTCTGCAGCTTCAGGAGGAGAGAGTCTCTTTATATGCAGTCTGTGAGGCCCTCCTGCTTCCACATCTAGTGTTTAATTTCCAGTCAATCATCCTCAACCTTAGCAATAGCAACTCAATTCTATCATCGTTGTGGTTGCTCTTTACCCTACATTTCTCAAATGCCAAATTGTACCAGCTAATGCAGTCCTCATTCGTGGTGTAACATCACAATTCATAACTAGTGAAAGTTTTAGCATTTGCACTGTAATCTTGTCTCAGCACCTGTTCTATCTCCAAAATTCCATTTTAGCCTCTCCTTCATTGGACAATACCTGGCACCAAGTGCCATGATTTAGGTCCCCCAGGTAGCAAACTGTGAAACTGAAATTACCATGCAGCATGCTTATTAGGCAGTGTGCTTGGGATCAACATCTTGGAAGAGATGGAAGGTGTTGGCAGAGGGAGAAGCTGAGTTGTAGTGCATCCCTTAAGACAACTTGAGCCCTAGACTTGGGAGCTCTAGAACTGAGATATCACTGTGAGTTGTCTGGTGTTGGGGTGGAACATCTAGGGCTTTATCTTCCATCTTGATCTGACATTGACTGTAGGCTGCCTGTGAAAGGGATTCTGAACTTGGAATTGTGAATCCCCAAAGATGACTGTACCTGAGGGCCTTCGTCTGGCAAGGCACCCAGAAGCTGAGGAAATAATTCTCTAAATTCTGAGGGGAGATCTGGGTATCTAACAGTTTCTATCATAGAGTCCCTAACTGAACAGTGCCTAATGCTAAAATTAAAGAGGCGTGTCTTGTATGGTACATATATAGACACTAACTATGGATACTGTTATGCCATTTTAATTTTTTATTTCCCAAGACATCAAGCAAGCAATGTAGCACAATGCACCTCGGGCTTGTCTTTCTTTTTTTCCTTATGAGAATGCCATTGATTTTAGAAGAGTTTATGTAGCAATATGAAGTGCAGGTTATCATGTACCATCTGCCTTTGCATCTTCTGAAATTCCTCTTTAATGGAGAAGAATGCTAGCAATCCCATCTTCAAAACGTACATTCCATGATGAGAGAAGAGCAGTCTGCAAAGACTGGGGTACTGATCAGAAATCAATCAGCAGTGAACTTGATACTTTTGAAGTGATAGAGTGGGAAAAGAGCCTTCTATCTACGTAAATTGCATTTAGAAAGCCTGCCTGTGCACTCAGTTTGAATTTAACACTGACTTAAGAGGAACCCACTTCTAGTTCCTAATAAAATCTTGAAAATTAAAATAAACTAAACGTCTAAAGTGCTGTTTATTGGACGTGCAGCAAAACAAAAGCTAGAATGTAAAATTTGACTCTGCGTTCCAGGGTGCACTGTCCCTCTTTCTTGCTTCATGCTTGCTGCATGTTGAGTATACACACTTATAATATTCAGCAAAAATATTCCAAACTATTAACAGACCAGCCATGTCTTCAGTGATGGTGGAAGGTATAGCTATGCTCTTAAGAACTGCAGGGACAAGCGATATCTGACTTACTCTGAAAATGACCTTCTGTGATTAGAGAGCAGAAAAGTTTGGAGCAGAAAAGTTAACCTTGTACCATACTTTCAAACTGAAAAATGCCTTAAACACTAGAACTTCGCAATCTGCCTTTTATTTCAAAACTGCTATCCAAAGCCTGGAGATTTCTAATAAACCTTCTTTTCCAAATATTTGTTGAGGGCTGTCATTGTAACTTTAAAATCCAAAATCTTGTGTCAAGCTTTTGTTTTTAAGTATTTTTCAAGTGAAATTTATAGAATTTCAGTTCCAAGAAACATACAAGAAAAGGGAAACATATTTGAGACCCTGTTATTTACTGAAAATGCAAGAGGACTTAGTAGCTGTTTACTCCATAGGAAAGACAATGTGAAAGGTTTCTGAAGAAAACTTCCCTATCTTGTATTTTATGTGCATCAATTAGAATTCCCTGCCACTCAATTCTTATCCTTAAACCCCAGCTTGCCTTCGCATGATACCAAAGAGCACACGTCACATACTTATGATGTGTATTATGTGCATTTACTGCAGTATACAAGAGTAGTTCAGCATGAAGATTAGGAACATAGGAACCCCAAATTCTGGTTTCAACCATCACCTCTGCCACGTTTCTCTCCATATATCAGTTATCTTCAAACCTAAAAGGGATATAAGAATAGTTCCTTTCAGGCAGAATTTTTATCTGGATTAAATGGGTCAATATTTATAAAGCACTAACAATGAAGGTAGCTACTACTATCATTCAGTATAATTTCCAGTGTTTTACTTTTATAGAAAAACGTTAAACCTTCATTTATTAATTCATACACACATGCCTGTGTAGTATGGTTTTAAATAATATCTTCATGAATTGAGACATATTAAGACTTTACTATTTGAAAAATGTCCTCTGCTATGTAAAGTTGGACCTATACCTATTATCCCACCCTTATATAATTAAGAAACTATAGACTTCCACAGTTACTTTAGTTATCTCCTGGCTTAATATGAGACAACTCTCTAAAGTAACTGGAAATAAATGAAATAAGTGATTAATGATAAAACCAATGGAGCCTGAGAGAACAGTGCTTGACGGATGGTGCATAAGTCTTTGGAAGAGTATTACAGCCTTCTATGTATCTGGTAACATTCAGAATGTTCAGTGTGAGCCACTTTCAAGAATGATAATGACTAAGCAGAAATTACCCATAGCTAAGTACAGAAGAATATCGAGAGATAAAAGCTCCATTTCATTTACAGTCTGTCTGAAGAAGAGAAAGGGGTGTTCTTACTGTATGGGACAACTTTCAGTCCTCATTCCTGAATTACTACCTGGGTTAAAGTTGTGAGGAGGCATATATTGGCTAAAGATAGGATGCTCTCGGGGCTCCTCAACAATGGGATTTGCTGCTTCATGAGTTAGTGAGCACCCTG